TAAGCTGACCAAGCCCTCTCAGTCTAACTACCCGGCAGACGACTAGTCTTCACCGGGATAGAAAGCTGAGGCTATGAACACAGAACTCCACTACTGGAATTGAATTCCAGTACAAAGCAGTAAATTGGCTAACTCTCGTATAGCCAATCTCCTACTATCGAATGAAGAGGCTCTAACAACCTAATCAGATTCTATCTATCTCAGGTTGCAGCAGAAATTGAGAAAAGCTTATCAGACTCAAATCAATTCAATAAACATGCGTCATTCGATTAAAATCAAACAGTAATATCATCCCAAGTCATTACAATCAAATCCCTAACACAAGGAACTAGGGTTCTTCATACCCAAGTGAGAGAAGGGTTCTACTCCATAGAGAGAGAAGAGAAAACAAGAATCGGATTATTCATACTCATAACGATGAGGAAAATCTGCTCCGGGACGATGATTTCCACTTCTATGACGATCTCCAAGCTCGATTCGATGAAATCCAGCTCTAAGACAGCTTCCAGGATGTGTTATTCGTACTTTCTCTCTTTAGGGCTCTGTTTTTTTGCTCTGAAAACACGATTCTCTCCCTTTTGGCTCGGAATAGGCTCTAAAACCAGGATTTCCCGACTCGCACGGCCAGGGTGCACGGCCGTGCAGATCACCCACTTGGCCATGCGGCTCAAAACGCGGCGCATCAATTAATCTCAGCCATCTCACACGGCCAGGGTTGCACGGCCGTGTGAGGAATCCAGCCTGCCCGTGCTCGACCTCGCAGAATTCCGCACGGCCTGAATTGCACCTTGCACGGCCGTGCGACTCCCTGGCCTGCCCGTGCAGCTTCCTTGAAACCTCGCCATTCGTCCGATCTTCGTCCAATCGATCCTAGACTCGCTCCCAAGCCTTCATTCACGTACTAGGACCTGAAATATCACAAACAAGCACAACCTAGCGTGAAATCGGCCTAAAACACGAGAATCAACACCTCAAACGGTGTAAGAACGAGGGTAAAAACATGTGTAAATAACGGTCTATCACTACTGCTGAGGCAGAGTATGTTGCTGCTGGACTCAGTTGCACTCAAATCCTATGGTTGAAATACCAGTTGCAAGACTATGGTCTTGAGGTTGGTACTCTACCTATTATGTGTGACAACACCAGTGCTATTAACATTACCAAAAATCCAATCCAACACTCTCGAACTAAACATATTGAAGTCCGTTATCACTTTATTCGTGATTTAGTTCAAGAAGGAAAGATAAATCTAGAATTCATTAGCACTGATATGCAGTGGGCTGATATATTCACCAAACCTCTTGGGGCAGACAAATTTCTTCCCATCCGTCGTGAACTTGGGTTATTCACAATTCACGAGATTGATTCTCTATGATTTTGTGGATACAGACCTTCCTTACTTACCTCCTCATTGATTGCTTGGTTTCAATCAAGCATTCATTGCATCCTGCCTCTCTTATTACTCTTCCCGAACCTTCCCTAGGGTTAGCATCTTCTATATATCATCTTTTCAATAGGATCCGTCCATCATTCTTCACACTAATTCCCACCTAATACACTCGTACTTCCCTCCATCAGCAACCCACCAAAATGGCCTTCAACAATGCTCAATTGCATCCAGCTGCAGTGTTTAGTAACAAAGGGTTTAGCAGCCCTGCTGCCTATTCTCGATATCTTCGCAGATTTCGAGATCGTCCCATCCAACCCTCCTTCTCCATTCAGCCCTCTGGTTTCACCAAATATGACCTGAATGTATCCTCTCTCATTGATAACTTGGGCTGGGGCTCACTGACTGAGGACATGCGATTCAGCTTCTGTCCAGAAGCAGTTCGCTTGTTTTATGTCAATCTCGTTCCAGGTCCAGGATGTGATCCTGCATTCTTCACAACAACTGTGTTCAACTATGATATCACAGTCACTCCTGCCCTGTTAGCAAATCTCCTCAATCTACCTCACACTGGGCTTAGAGCAGGCACTGATAGTGAATTCGCCTCTCGCGGATTTCGATTTAATACCGTTTTGGCTCGGTATACGCGTGATATAGGCGATTTCTATCCTTCTCCTCTTGCAGCTGGTCGTCTCCCTGATGATTTGAAAGTGCTCCACTTCTTTATCACCAGGCTCTTCTTGCCTCGTGATCTCTCTTCTACTGATATTCTTCACTCAGCTGACTTATGGATCCTGTCTAATGCTAAAGAAGGTCGTCTCATCAGCTATGCCTCACTCATGTTCTCCCACCTCATTAAGTTTGGCCTCGAGTACTATAGTGGTCCCCTGCCCTTTGGACCCCAGATCACCAAATTTCTGCACAAAGTGGGCATTAATCTGCGTGACAAAGTCATGCGTTGCAATGTCCTCGATGATCTTAGACCACAGCATGTTCTAGCCAAGCTAAATGCTGAAGTTGGTCCCCGTAAGCCTATCATTGGCTCAGGGGGAGTCATAACAAGTCCTGCAGCCTATGCCTCTGGCAAATTTGTTGATGCCCTTGTTGATGCAGCTGTCACGGTTGTCAAACAAGGAGTGACAAGTTCAGGCAAGCAGTCTACTGCCTTGAAGCGACTGAGGGAGCAAGACCTAATGTGGCCCAAATTTGTGTATGAGTCAGGAGCAGTAAACGACTCATTCAGCTCTGACTCAGAGTCAGAAGAGTCAGAGGAAGGGGATAGAATCTCTGAGTACGAATCTCCTCCGGAATATCCCTTCTAAAGATCATAGGGAAGCATCTCAGGGGGAGTATCTAGAATTGTAGGTGAAGTCAAGTCCGTAGGAGTAGTCTGAATAAATTTGTAGACCTGAAGCAGGTCAAGTCAAGTTGTCAGTGTGGTGTCGTCCTTTGTTTGTTTTCCCTTGTTTGAATATTAATAATAAGATGTTATTTTATCCTGCTGCTATTCAATCTTGCTTCTTAGATTATCTCGACTGGAACAGGCTGCACCAATCTGTGTGTTAGTGTGTGCAGGCAATCAAGTGAGCCAATGACAAGCTTAGGGGGAGTTTGTTGATGGAAGCTCAGTCATTGGCATCGAGATCTCAAGCAAAGCAAGAAAGGCAAGTGACCTTGGGGAATCTATTTCATCAAGAAAGAAAAGGAAAGAGCATATACAACAATCAATCAAGGAAATCAAGGATGGCGAATTGATTTACCAGCAACGGTCGACTCAAGAGTGAAATAAAAAGAGGCCTTCTGGGTAGAATAGATCAGTTCTTTTTCAGTGATTTTCTCACCAAGGAAAAACAGAGAGTTGTTAAGTGCGTGAGAAAGAAAAGGAACAGGGTTTTCAGGGTGAGAACTCGGGTAACAGAATTAAGAAGTCAGGGTAGAGTAGGTGCAGGGAGCAGACTCTACAGGGCGACTCTGATCAAGTGACAGGAGGTCACTTTGCGATCGAACTCAGTTTTACTTGTAGATCAATAAACGAATAAACATAGTGAATCGTCGAAGGTCTCGAGATAGAGGTCCTTCGACCGTGGATTAGTCGGTGTTAGGTTCATTAATCACCTAACACCGGATACCACGTAAAAATTTGGTGTCAGTGTCATTTACTTTTCTCTAGTAAGATTAAGTTTGCATTATAATCGGTTAATAGTTCGTGGTGAAGTTCTTGGTTGAGTGATTTGCAGAACAGAGCAGATCAACTTAAACGAGAAGAAAAAGAAGGTTCAGTTGTCATTCGAAACGCAGCGTTCTAACTACCATTCATCGGGCCAACTTCTATTGACAAAAGCAAAAGTGAATCAGGCCCAAAGTCGTGTAACTGTCCATCACAAGACGGTGTCGTGTAGGTAAACTCATAAAGGAAAGTTCAATAGCTTTGAGAATCGATTTCTGCCTTTGCTTCCTATTCTTCTCACTTGATCTTGTCAAAGCCGAAATTAGGGTTTCAGGAACAAGGTAAATCGACAAGAGGAGCTAATTGCTGGTAAAGTCTCGCGCTCGACTCATTCTACAATCAGGATGTGTGGTATTTGGATACTGCAGCTGATTATCATATGTGTCCATACAGGGAGAGTTTTTCAACTTATGAGCAGATAGATGGAGGGCATGTTTCTATGGCCAATGGTGCTATCTGTAAGATTGTTGGAAGAGGCTCCGTCAGGATGAGGACACATGATGGTTCTGTTCGCACCTTGAACAATGTTAGGCATATTCCAGAGATGACTAAGAATCTGATATCTTTGAGTCTACTCGACAGCAAGGGTTTCAGTTTCAAAGGTGAAGGTGGAACGTTGTCTGTCTACAAGGGTTCTGAGGTGATTTTGAAAGGTGTCAAGCGGGGTGCCTTGTATAATCTACAAGGTTTTGTTTTGACATGTTCTGTTGGTGATAAATGCACCAAGCTGGTTCCGAATGGCAAGTCTCAACATGAGTTGGATTTGCCGAATGGTTTGAGTTGTTGACCGCCCTTAGGGGTACTTGGAGGCGGGGGAGATTTTGGTACAACTTATTTGGAGGATTCTGGTACATCTGGCAACTTTTGGTTGCATCTGGTACATTTGGCAACTTTGGTTGCGTCTGGTACATCTGGTATTTGAGAGAGAATTCAAGTTAAGGTGGAGATTGTTAGGATATGACTTGAATTTGATTTGGGTTTGTTTTGTGTTTTAGGCCTATTCTGTTTGGGTTTGGGATTGAGTTTTGTTTTGACCTTTTCCTTGTAAGTTTGGAAAAAGGTGTTTGGTTTTCTGTTTGAGATTAGGAGAAGAGTTCTATAAATACTCTTTATCACCCTAGTTTGTAGTAAGGTCAATCAGGTCAGTTTGTTTGGTTTGTCCGTTCGGAATTTGGTTTGTAACCTGTACTCTCCTTAAATTAGTGAAATTTGTTCTCCTCTGCCCGTGGATTAGCTAGCACAAATTGTGTTAGTGAACCACGTTAAATTTGTGTTCGTTCGTGTTGATTTGAATTATCGATTGCACGTTTCTGTTCTGACATTTGCCGTGATGGTTTAGGTATTATTAGTAACACGAGAGACCCAAATAAAGATTTACTTAAAATGGTGGATCGATTCGCCTATACCACAATTTGGGACAAAATGTCATCTGATGATAATATGGAATCTTCAATACGCAAAATGGGACAACAGAAGCAGTCAGCCTGTGATGTTGTGTTCTTCTATGTGTGTGACTACCACACGTGTGCAGTCAGTCTCAGCTTGCTTTATCTCTTTCAGAAGTAGACGTGTAGATTCTTTTTCTTTTGCCTCCCTTGCTTGCTCTATCTTTTGTATTGTTTCCAAGAAATTAAAAGTATTTCCTTTTGGTACCTATTCTTTCCTTTTTCCTCTTTTTCACCCCTGTAGTTTTTTCCCTTTTATTTTATAGTGCTTGTTGATCTCTTCTTTTCACCCAAACCGGCATTCTTCTCTTCATTCTCACTGTGGGGAAATTCACGATTGTGTCTTCTTCAGCTACCCACCTGACCACGATGGAAAATAGTGTGAGTAGAGCGGTGGAAATTAAAATAGCATCATGTGTACATAACTTTTCTCCACTAATAAAGCAATGAAGTTCAAGAGCAAGAAACCGCTTTTTTGCCTAACCTAGCTAGCCCTAAAATTGACCAAACATACTCTATAGGGAAGACTCCTAATTATATATATTGAAGGATGCCAATTTATAAAACATGTGAAAACCCTTGTTAATTTACTAGTATATTTTCCCATCTGCACACCACTCAGTCAAAGATTTGTTTCCTCCAATGCATTATTATTATTATTATTATTAGATCAGTCAAATAAAGAAGGAATATAATTCACCTTTCACTGCTTTTTAAACATAATTAATTTACTGAGTAGAACATAGGTCCTCATTCTCCAAATCATATAGACTAAGATTAATTTAATTACAAACAATAATCGACAGTTCTGATTCGTTGAAATACATCCAACACACTAAATGCACCATTTTAAAATTTAGAGTGCAAGCTATAAAGAAGTAGAATCACTCATCAAAAATTGAATATAAATTTAATTAGTTTACGATTTAGATAGCCAGTTATTTTATACCAAAGAAAGGGAATTTGATAAATTGGGATGACCCACAAATTGGGTGGCTGCTACTCTGTTTGATAATAGGAAATGAATAATTTGGGTAAGAGAGAGTCACATGGATATGCATTGGGGGATGAAGATAGTTGGTCATGGGAAAGGATCACTTTGGTTTTGTCTTTCTCTTCCTGTCTTTGTATGCATGCATGTGCCTATTCATGGAGGGGGGTTGTAGTTTTACATAGCTTGACCCAATAAAAAATACAGGACAATTAGTTCTCTTCTTTGATATTAGAAATACAAAGAATTTTTCACAATATGTGTATCAAGATTTGAACTAGGGATAATTTTGTGTGTCCTTCAGAGAAGTTAAATAAATAAATAAATAAAAAATAAGAGTGTACCTGAATTGAGTGACAAAATGGTGTAAGAAAATGGAAGCCTCAAGTCTAGCTAAGTCAACTCCAGGACATAGTCTTTGTCCACCGCCGAAAGGAGTGAAGTTGTTATTGCTCACGTCTTTATCCTGTATTTCATAAGATCAAGAACATTACTAAACTTCAAACCAAACTTGATTTTCATAAGATATATTTATCACATTTCTCATTTTTTCATTGGGTTAAACCCGAAATTTCAGAACTTTTTCATCACTAGATCCATCTCTTTTTGTTCGTAAATGAATACTGCAAAATAATATATTGCCGCTCGCTAGATATGTATTGTAGCGATTTTAGTAATAACGTACTTGCCATCGCCATGGATTGAAGTGGTAAGGGTGGTCGTAGTGATTGTCATCAAGATGAACAGATCGAAGGTAGGCTAAAACGGACCAGCCCTTTGGTATCAAGTGACCTTTGATCTCCACGTCTTTCATGGCCTTCCTCATAACACCTATTATAATGTTCCCCATCCTCAATGTTTCAGTGATCACCTATATATGTTTTGTTTTTGTTTGGGCAAGAAGTAGAAATTAGTCAATAGTCATTATCATGTCTATATAGAAACATGTCTATAGTACTTCTTGGGATAGTTTCATATGCATACAAAGGTTAACAATATTTTTCAATTCGATAAGTAAAATATATATGAATTTGAATCGGATATTTACAGAAAATGATCAAATATATATGTACATCTATAATACCCCTCGATTTTAAAGTTTTTAACCGTCATTTTGATCACCCGTTCATCTTAAAAGAATCTCAATTTTCAACAGTATGACAATTAACAATAAATAAATGTGGATTTATGCAAAAAGTATTTATATTTTTCTTATAGTTTAAGTATTTCTGAAACATGTTCGATTCCACTTTAGAAATTCGTCTCTAATGATGACACTACGATGACAAAAAAGTATATGAATTAGTTGTAATCCTAAAATAAATATCATCATATTAAATAAATGTAAGTTACTTAATTTTTAAAAATTTGATGATTAAATTCTAAGTTTGGACTAGTACTGTATATCACATAATGATAATGATTCATGGACAAATAATGAATGCTTACGGTTTGCGTAAATGGTAAGGAGGACAAATAATCACTCCAAAACAAGGGCTCCCCAAGTTGAGCTTTCAGACTTTTCAACTTCAAGTTCTCCTCCTGTGAAAACCAACAAATAACCATTAATAATTTTCGTCTTTTTCCTTTTGTCTTCTCTAATTATGACTAATGTTTACATATTTGATCGTTATCATATGACAAATGTCATAAAAGGATATAGAAAATTATGTCGAACTTATAATGAATTCAATAGCTAGCAACAATCACGAATGAGATATTTCTAAAATATATGATTTTTTAGACACTGAGATATTTCTATAAAGATTATAAATTAAATTGAGTTTAGTGTATGATACATCCTCTAATGAATAAACATCATACTCCAATTATCTAACTTAAACCCGCATACCAATTTAATAAATTCTTATTGGTCGAACTACAATGAAGTATATCCAATAATCAAATCAGTTAGAGTATATTATACTCCAAAAATACGTCAATCATTAGATGACCATTGACCTCAATTGTAAGTAACATTACTAGATGCTAACTAAAACAGCAACAGGAAAGATAAAAAAAGATTTTAGGGGTACAATTTGTATTTTCTCTATAGCAAACAAGCCATAACAATTCCCAAATCCATGCAATATCATTGCTCCTGCGATTGTATAGCATCAATGCATTGAGTAGTAAGATATGAAACTTAGCTTGATTTATTGAAGAAAGCATGCAATGAGAATTGATTGCTCATGACACATACCGTTAATTGTTTGAGGGCAGCAGGACAATCAGAGAGATAGTTGATGGCTAGAGTCATGAGGACCGGGACCGAGTCCTCTCCCGGTATCATCATGTCAATCATGTTGTCCGCAATCAACTCATCGGTCAACTGGTTGCTCGAATCATTGAGCAACACATCGATCACATCTTTCGATACTATGGATGTTGTGGTGCCGTTCATTTCTTCTCGCTTCGATCGTATTAATTTTCTCACTAGTTTGACCATTTCCTTCTTTGCCTGATGTGGTCAATAACAAAGAACTGCTTACTTAGTAACCGTTCGATTGTTAATTAAAACGATGATAGTCGAGAATTCAGTTCTTAATTGCTCAATAAACTTACCCGTAAGGATCGATAGAGCTGAGTTCCTGGTAGTTTTATAGGTAGAGACATGAGTCCCAAGATGAACTCTTGGAATTGTTTCTTGAGCAACTCCATCTCTTCACCTGGGTCCAAGCTAATCAATGCTTTGACTAGAACTTGGAAGGCAATCTAGGGAAGCAAAAATGAAGACCAAAAGAAAGAAGAAGAAAAAAAATACTAGTGATCAAACTTCTTAAGAAGAGATTAAACTATATATGATTGTAATTATTGTGAGTCTCACTCTATAGACACTATCATTTTGATGCAAAATAATTGTGAACCCACCAAAAGTAAACAGCCATGTGTTTTTGTGTTATGTTATGAATTATCTGGGTTTCCCATTATGAGCCTTTAACTTTTGGACACAATCATTTGGGTCCATTCCATTATCACCCTACAAGTTCTCTTTTCTTGCCCCATAGAGATGAAAATTTCGACCAAATCAATCATTTCTTTCATTGGAAAAAAAAAACATGAGAAAAAAGGAAGGTCTTTAACAGAGAAAGTGTTGTTCTTTGCAAAATTCCAAAATTTTCCAAGTCTCGAGAATTATTATTATTATTGTATATGTAAAAATGAAATAAGAAAAATATATATTCAAAGAACAAAGACAGAGGAAAGGTTTGGGAACAGAGATGACATGTTCTTATTTTGTTTTATGCGCTGTCTCTGTTCCTCAAAAAATTTGAGGAAAATAAAACCCATCAAAATCTTAGCCATCAAAGGGAGATATTAAAAAAGTAAAAAAAAAAAATTCCCAAGAAGTTAATTAATTAAATAATTAACATATAATATATACACTCACATTCTTGGTCTCATCTTGAATGAAGATAGCTTCATCCTCTCTCCATTTCGCCATCGACTCCCTCACGAGCTTCTCCATGTCTCTTGTGATTTGAGCTTTGAGATGTGGTGACTTGAAGAAAGCTCCAACCAGGCCATGGATTCTTCTTTGCAATCCGCCATTGATGAGCAGTATGGAGGATTTGCCCATCAGCTCGGTGAGGGATTTAGGGTAAGATGGAACAAATGATTTGGCATCACTCTGGAGTATGAATTTGATCACTTCTGCATCTGTTGATACTATGGTTGGGTTCCCAAATATATGTGACTTGAACACCTTTCCATACCTAAATGAAAGGGTAAGATAAAGAAATATTCAGTTAACTCGATGGATGGATGAATGTATAAACTACTAAAAAAAACGATACATCGAAAGATTTTAACGATGCATGATGTATGTGTGGTATGGGACTTACAGAGCACGACGTTTATTTATGAAGGTCTCTGGGCGATCGGAGTAAGCACAGGAGACGAACTCGATGGTTTCCCCGACGAGTGGCCATCCCAAGCTACCTAAGGGAAGGGTTGGAGAAGGAGAAGGAGAAGAAGTTGATGATGGTGATGATCTTGAGATGATTGATCGTCTTCCCTTCTTGAATAGCAATAGCGACGAGATTAGTAATAGCGACGGAAGCAAGAGCCACCACAAAGTGGTACTTGTAGTTGTTCTTAGCACCATCAACATGATTAGTTTGACCATGTTGGACAACATTTCTTGATCGAGCTCTATCCCACCTTGCCTTCTTTTGTTTCCCTTTAACTTTCTCTCTCTACTATGGAATGGAAATATGGAATGTTGTTTCTTTCTCTCTCTATCTCATGGGTCGTTGGGGGGTTCTATTTTGGGTTGCTTAAATATTTGAAGAGCACTAATGATTTTGGGGGGAGAGATGAATGATGATAATGAAATTTTAAAAGTATAAAATAAATGAATGTGGGGGAAATATATTTTTATTTACAATGAATTATGTGAATTATTGTGTGCATGTGTACGTGCACGCGTGCGGCGCGGCTAGATAGAGTATAATTTTGTTAATGTATAATATTTGTTGGTATTGTGGGGAAAAGTGAAAAATATAAGTTATTGTATAATTAAAGTTTAAGGATTTGTTCAACGAAAAAAGTTTATAAATTATTGTTAATTGAAGTTTAAGGATTCCATCATTGTATATATAATATGCAAAAAATCTCTTAGCCCTCTAAAATCTTTCCCCAAATTCTTCAGATTCTTTGACATATGGTAGAGCACCCTCAGTACATGGGAAATCATGAAGAAAGCTTGTGCCACACCTGGTAGAAGATCAAAGTTGGGTTGTCTCAAGACTAAACAGCTGGCTGTAAAAGTGGAACTTAAGAAGCTGAACAATCTTGATTTGCATATTTAAGTGCAAAGGTGAAGGAGGTTAGTGATCTGTACAAGAAAGCACAAACAAAATCACTTTACTTCCCTTTGGCAGATAAGTTCCAAGCTGAGTAGCAACTGGAAAATGAACTATTTAGGTTGAAGATTGCTGAAGAAAGTTTCTATAGACAGAAGTCTAGTGTACAATGGATTTCACTTGGGGATTCGAACACAAATTTTTTTCACTTGTCAATGGAGGCCAGGCAAGCTCGAAAGATGATTTAAACTTTGCTCAGCAGCCACTGCCGAATAAGTTAAAAATGCTTTGTTCCTGATAAGGCCTCAGGGCCATATGGTTGGACACCTGGATTCTATAAAAAACTTGGTGTGTTGTGGGCAATGATCTTATTGGGGGTGTTCTTGAGTTCTTCTCCAGTTGTGTTTTACCAAGAGGTTTGAATTCCGCTTCTCTAACTTTAGTGTCAAAGATTCAAAATGTTTCTAGGATGAAAGAATTTAGACTCATTGCGTGCATTAATGTTGTTTACAAAATTATCTATAAAGTGTGGGTCAACCGTTTATAAACTGTTCTTTCTGAATTTATAAATAGAAACCAGTATGCATTTGTGAAGGGTACAAGTATAGCTGAGAATATTCTGATGGCACAGGAAATAAGTATAGACGGAAGAATATTAACTCTAGAAGTGCAGTCAAACTGGACTTAATTTTGACTCTGTACATTGGGGGATTTTTTATTTGATGTCATGGATCTGATAAATTTTCCGGTGCAATTTGTGAATTGGATTAAAACATGTATGTCTACAGTTAACTTTAGTGTGTGTATAAATGGAGGGCTTTGTGGAATATTTTGTGTTTGTAAAGGAGTAAGGCAATGAGACTTTTTGTCGCCTTATCTTTTCACTCTTGTTATCGAAGTCTTATACATGATGCTCAACAAGGCAGCTAAGGTTAATCAATTACCTTATCATCCGCAATGCAAGCCTCTGAGTTTAACTTACCTATCTGGTAGGCTGGAGCTTATTGCATCTGTGATTTACACCATCTTACATTATTGGGTAGGGATATTTGTCTTGCCTGAGAAGTTCTTTAAACAAGTTCTGAAACTTTGTTATGACTTTCCCAAGCATGGTAACGAATCTGGAAGAGCTAAAGTGACTTGAGAATTAGTCTCCACTCCTAAAAATGAGAGTGATATGGGTCTAAAGAACTTGGCAGTCTGGAACATTGAAGGTGCATGAAAGTTGATTTGGTTTCTGCTAATGAAGGAGGGTCTTTTATATTGCATGGACTGATCGATACAAAATAAGGGAATGAACTTTTGGATGTTTAAAGGTAATCAGGAGGGGTCTTGGGTCTGGAAGAAACTTCTCAAGATCTGTTCGTGTTTTCATAATAGAATGTATGAGTAGGAAGATGGTAGTGTCGGTTGGGAAGGGAGCCCTGTCAATAAGTATTCTATAAAAAAAGTTTGGGCTTCAATCAGAGATAAGGGACTTGTGGTAAATTGGTGGAAAATTGTTTGATCTAAGTACTCTATCTCTAGTAATCGTTTTCTCACATGGCTTGTCTTGAAAACTAGGATCACAACAAGAGAGAAGCTTATTTCCTGGGGCGCAGATAGTTGATCCTACTTGTGTGCTATGTAATGCAGGTTGCGATTCAAGAGAAATCATCTGGTCATTGATGACAGTCTTTTTTGTAGCGAAAGTTGTTCTTGGTGAAGCTTACACGGCCACCACTAACCCATCTGATGTCATCCTGAGCAACAATTGTATCTCTCCGGTTGGTCTGTGTGTTCCTTACCCCTAGTAGCTCCTTATTTCAGTTGGTTGACAACTCAAAATAGGTGCTCCAAAATAGCAATTCGTCTTTGTGAACCTATACTATGTGTCTAGGGATAGGGGAAAGGTTTATAAACATTGATTTCCTTGATTGGATCACTGTTCGAGCACTCCAAGCCGTCGCAAATGCTATTAGACGTGCGATAATGCACTAGATTCGTGTGCAACATTTGTGTCTTGCGGGGAGGATCATTGGTGCCAAAGAGGGTGGTGTGAGCGCGACAAAACAATGGATTAAGCAGTTGCCTCTGTTCATCTCTAGTCCTAGTTGTTGCTGCTAGTTTGAGTTGCAAGATGGTAGCAGAGGATGGTGGGATCGTTTGGTCGACAAAAGCTCACGAGAAGAGCTTCGCTTTGGCGGCTGGGTCGTGTGCGAGGGGGAAAGAATGGGGGGTTTGCGGTTGTGCTTGGTTTGAGAAACATCCAACCTTAACTGACAATATGCATTTTTGGGGTGAAATGATATAGTTATTCAAGAACTTTGAAGTTAAACGTGCTCACTATGGAGCAATGGAAGGATGAATGACTTCTCAAAAGTCACTTTCATACCCACCCAAAAAAAGACAGTGCGAATCTAAACGCAGAGCGAATAATATTTTGATTGGAAAAAAGTTCTGATATTACAATATGCTTAAGGCGACTTGAACCTTGTGTTTCTCATCTCTATCATTCCCACAAATATTCCATTCGTTTCCAAAGATACATGGTCTTTTTTTTTAAATCGAAACTTATGCGTCATTTGATTTCTCCCTTTTTTTGATTGTTATTGGTTTGTTATAATGGTGATTATATAAATAAACGCATAACGCATGTCCAAAAAACAAGTTATTGTTTTTTTTTTTGTAAATGATTGTTACTGTATTGTATTTTATAATATATTATTTTTAGTATTGTTTATAACAATTTTTACTGGTTTGCATTCACTATGCATTAATTATTTTTTACCTAATATTCTAAATTGGCCCAAACTTTACAGTAATAGACTAATTTGACCCTAATTTTAAAAAATGCACATTATGTCCAAAATTACTAACTATTTGGACTACTTTGGCCTCACCCATGTGTTAACTATCAAGATGGACAGTTAATATGCCATATCATCATAAAAAGCAATAAAAAAAGTTTAAAAATTAATTCAAATTTAAATAATTTTCCATAATATCTATTGTTTACATTTTTAAACAAAAAACAAAGAAATAAAATTATTTAAATATATGTTATACATTAAATTCACCGGTACATCTATAATAATATATACATGTATATATTATTATTTTTTTCCAAAACCTAAAAAAATAGTCACAACTACTAAACATTGTATTATGTAATTTATTAAATTCACCAACACATCTATAATGTCAATTCGAAACTTTATGGTGTAAAAACATGCATGAATCTAAAAATAATAGTTGATCGCTTTCGTCTTCTATCTAACTTCTTCAATTATTTAGCTCAAACAAAGACTCCTTCAAGCTTTATAGTAAATAAAGAAATGTGGTCAGGCATGATTGTATAGGTATATATCGGCCGCTCTCTATGTATAATTAAATTGCATAATTATGTAAACATTTGGGGCGGCTAGCCGTAGCTCCATAATGACCTCCATTAGTGTTATGCAGCTTATAAAGCCGTCTCTTTAGGGGGAAAGTTTAAATAACAAATCATAGTTAAAACCCTACAAACTCTTCAACAAGTCAACATCACTTTCCTCAATATTTTCTCATCATCATAGGGTGGCTATACGGTCCGGTCCGGTTAAATTGGCCCAAATTGATCCGGTCCAGTCCGGTTTTTTTGAAAATATAAGGACCGAAGATTGGATTGGATATAGTCCGGTCCCAATTCGGTCTTGATTTTATATTGAGATTGTGGGAATTTGAGTGGCCTAAGGCCTAAAAGGGTGAGGAGTTGGTTAAGTTTTGTACTAAGTGCAAAGGTTTGTGACCGTTTATGCCAATTACCCTTAAGTTTTGGGTGTTGAGCTCTCTTATCCGGTCTTTATCCGGTTTTTTACCTCAAATCTAAGCCCAAAGATTGGATTGGATTGTTTACTATCCGGTCCCGGTCCGGTCTCGGTCCGGGTTATACGGTCCGGTTTCCAGTTTTTCATCCGGTCTCGATCCAAATAGCCAGCCCTACATCATCACATTAGCCAACTATTCGTATAAAAAAAAAAAAAACTTTAGCCAACTAATAAATTTTTTTTTTAAACAAAAGATAAGTTGTATTGTCAAAACCAAATACTAGTTATACAGATGAAGACTCCAAAATGAGTCTAGCACGGAAATAAAAAAACGCAAATCACTACAAGGAAACAAAGAGGGTATTTTTTAGCCACTAAATGAACTGCCTTATAGTTTTGCAACAGACAAAACACCAAACCTCGAGATATGACCAAACAGATGGTGATGCTATTCAAAGTTTCAAACACAGCCCAACCCCTGCAATCCCGAGTACTGCAGAATATGATGATCTTATTAATAACGACCTTTGCATCCTCTCAAATCTCATCTCAAAGTGGCACCAACTCAACCAGAGCATGATCAAGTAGACCATCATATACCTAGTGGCGAACCCAAAAAATTTTATTTTAGTGGTGTCTCTTCCAAAAATTAAATTAAACATAAAAAAAATTCTTAAATAGCAAACCGTCACTTGTTCAGCCATAACCATCAACGAAAAACATAGGACCAGAAATGACATAATTCTAATTGAGTAAAGTTCATGGTAAAAAAATACTTTCTTTTTATTGCGTTTAGTACTTTAGTGGACAAATTGGTACTTTAATAGACAATCATAATTGCATTAGATTAATCCTCCTTCTCTCTCCAACCAATTGGGATTTGATAGATTTCTAATAAAATCTCATGTATCTCCAAAGAATCTCCAGGTACCTACTATATATACGCATACGTTTTATTTTATTATTATCATAAGATTGCATGCATAGTGCATACTTTAACAAAAAAAAATGCTTTCTTCTATTTCACAAAAATAAATAAAAACTTTCTTCGATCCACCAAAGTTTGGAGAGTTTTGGTTGCTTTTTTAAGCTTATAATATTCCCCAACACCTTACCAAACTTTAACTTTGGGTATTAGTATAGTTTGAAGCTTGAACAAAGAGATAATTTTGGTTCGAATTTTATAAAAAAAAAATGTTTATTTCTCAAAATAATTTGGCCTAATTTATTATGGGCCTTCAGTTGATCGTCAACTTGGATTTCAAACACGTACGTGGTTTCAAAATGATAACATCCTTCAAGCTTAGATTTCAAACAATTTGTTTCATAAGTTGTTTTGTTTCATCTTTTGCACTGATTTTTGTTATCATTTAAAATCTATCCTTAATGTACCGTAAAAACGTTGAAAAATCAAAATCAGTATATATGTATTCTCAAAAACATATATTTTAACCATGCTTCGTAAAATATCCTTAATTTGTATGTCTTTAAATTTGTTTATGAATCTACTATTCCTCGTTCTTCTCTCTCTCCCTCTCCATGTATTTTCAAGGGGAAGATAATCAAACAAATGACAATTACAAAGAGGGGCAAAAGGCAAACAATAATTATGGAAGTTGGAAACCCAATTATCTCTTCCTCTTGATGTGTGGTAGTTGGAAGTTGGATTTTATTTGGAAGTTTGCCTGCATATTGTGCCATGTCCACATCCACTTTGGAACTTGTTCCAACACTTACTCTATACCTTCTTGCATTAGGCCCATGTCACCATGTGAAATCTCATAAAAAAAAACACTCCTCAAAGGGACTTAAAATGTTGTGGCTAGGAGATTCATACTGCCCCATATTGAGATCTCGCTGCTTAACAAGCTAGTAATGTACATCCAAACACTTCCCATAATTCTCTTATAAATAAAGATTTTGATTATGTTGCTGACCAAACAATTAGCGGCGAGCAATGATCCGGTTCATATTAGATTACAAACTATCCCTAAACCGAACGTAATAGTACCAAATGTGTTTTTCTGATCTGGTTCTATTCTCGCATTGCCCTCATTTTGGTTCTGATTCTGGCTCAGAAGACAATGCTCATCCATACAAATAACAAGATTCTTAAGGTAAATGACAAAACTTGACAGCAAAGGAAGGAATGAACTTGAGCTTTCTTTGCAGCTGCTCACTTGTTTTAGGATCATACCTAAACAATAATATCCTTCCTTCCCCCACTATCAGAAAAGGAAGAAGCAAAATCCAAAACAGCAGTTGTTGCTGAAATAAAATGGAAATGAGTATAGAGAGAAAGATAAACAGATTTTGTTGATCAATTCTTGTTTGTTCTGTTCCAATCATATGATGGCAGTAGGTCCCCCAATCCAAAAACAAGTTTGTGGGATCGTTATCAGAACATAGAAACAGTGCATATCTATGTTCTGATCATAAATCCTTTTGTACTTGCAACCAAAAAACCAAAGAGCATAATTATAATAATCACAATCATGTACCTAATACCTATCTCTAATGTCACTTCCTATCATAATCACATTAAAGAGGTTTCATCCAGAAGGAACCATCATTTGGGAGGAAGTGGTCAAGTTAAGAAAAAGTCATCCACAAAAAGCAAAACGGCATTCATGAACGAACTCACAAACAGAGAATCTTTGAGCTGGAAGAGAGGTGGACCCTCGTGAACTAGATGCTAGGGATCGATTTCACTCGAATGAAGTGTTTAAGAACAGCCTTTTCTTCCTCGAGGCGCTTCTTCCCTTCCGAATCTTTCGGTTTGATCTTCCTTTTCTCTTCCAGCATCCATTTGAACAGTTCACGTTGCTGATTCTCAGGAATGGGTTCCCGAGGGATCACCACAGGTGCTGCCACGACAGTTGAGGGTAAGGTGGTTGCAGTATCTTCAACTTCATCTGTGTCTTTCTTCTTTGTTCTCATGAACAGGTAAGCTGCACCAAGTCATGGGACATAAATCATCAATTGTTTTAGTAGTTATGAAACTGCAACCATGTTAATGTCCATACCGCCAACAAATGAGAAAGCAAACACACAAAATGGAGAGAATATCCAAGGAAAAAAACAAAGAGGAGATCTACATGATTGCACAGAGTTGCATGACAGAGTAGCAAGTCCTGTATTGTTAATCTCAATTGTGAGTTGGAAGTAAGTAAAGCATCATTCTCTTGGCGCCCACCAGTACATGTTCCCATTGCTGCCAACTACTTCATAATCCATTGCTGCAATATGCAGCAATAATTTCATGGATTGAAGTCTTTTTGTTTTTTCCTTGGCAATTACTAGCAGCCAATGGGAAGCTCCGAAGGGAGTTGGTGTGTGGAAACCCCTTCTGGAGAATCCGGAGTGGTTTCATTGACGGCTACAGGAAGTTCAGATCAACTAAATTCTTTAGTTGCAATGAGGAAGAAAGCATCCTTCTAGAAACGGCTGTTACAATATGTTCGTATATGAAAGTAAATTAAAATGACTGCTTCGTTTTCCCGAAACCATACAGAACAGGAAACATGAAGACGTCTACTAATGCTACTTTTGAGGAGGTCAGAGAATAGCACTGGCACTCAACGAGGAAATTGTTTTCTGCCCTCTGTCAGGGCTCGAGTTTGACGATAATTCAGGAAAAAGCATAAATGAGCCAGTAATCTTTGTACTTTGAATAGTGGACATAACTACGACGCCTACAGAGAATCTCGTCGATCTTTTTCAAGATGAAGCTGATAGACCTAATAAGCTATTTATGGTGCGTACACAAGAACCTCCTGAACCTAGTCCATCCATGATCCATCCCATCAATTTTTAAGAAAAAAGTTCAACAGATATGTTGATGATAGTACAGTTACAACTACGGTTCACAAATAAAGCAGAGTTGATGGGAAATGTGTAATCTCCTATCACAGATAAACCAGCAGGACCCGAGGTAGCGGGAGTTTGTTTCTTATAAAATGTAATGAAAACAACATACAGTGACGAGTTTATCATTAAATAGGGACCTTAAGCAACTCAGGTTTAGTATGGAAGACATTCTATATACCCAGGAATTCTTTAATTTCATGGCTAGTGTAATTGAATAGAATTGGTACCATGGATAAGGTGAAAAGATGGAAACCTGATCTGGATACTAATTGTCCTCTATGTCATTCAGATTCAGAGTCTAGAGAACACATATTTTTCCAGTGTGAGTTTGTGCAGAGGGTGCTAGAAGTCTGCTTCCCAAGTAACTGGAACTACAGGCCAAAAGCTGGATGGCAGAAAGGTATGATGGATGCTGTGAAAAACTTTAAGAACTGTAAATTGGTAGGCTGGTGTGGAATCTGGTTATCAGTGAGGTGTGGCGGGAGAGATGTAGGAGGGTTCATGAGAACAAAAACTTGTCTGTTTATGGAGCTGGCACACAAAATGCAGAAGGTGTTGGAGAAAGCTACCGATCAGAAGAAACTCTGGTTCCGGGAATAAAGCATAGTTATGTTGTTATGTGTACATGTGTGTCACAGTTAGTTGGTTTCAAAGTTAAAACATATTAGGGGAGGATATGTAACCTTGCTCTTGGTTGAGCATTTGATGAAATAAAATCTTGCTTTTCATAAAATAAAATGATTAATCTCTCCGTCGAAAACAAAAACCCAAAATCAGAGCCAGAAGACGACCTATTAAGAAAGATAATCTATGCCACCCTCAGCAGTTACTAGCCATCTCAGGTCTTCAACACTAGCATTCAGCATTATGATAACCAAGTTAATCTTATGTCCTTATAACTTCTCCCTAAAGTTGTTCGGGATTTCAACAATGACAGAGAGGTCGTATATCTACAAAATGCCCTCGCAATCTTAAGAACAATTATCAAAAGAAATCTATTACCACAACTTATCCATTGAACAAATCACATTGAAGTAAGATTACCGTCTCCTGCATATAGTTTCTATCTAGACAAGCATTGTCATTAGCCAATGCAGTTATCAATATCTCTGAGAAACCACCACCCTTAAGCAGTTATAGCAAGGGCATTGAACACTCAAGCAAAATGGAGGGAAAGACTACTTAATGCAAGAGCCAGTCTCAAGGAGCATCTGAGATTATCTCTAAAGAATCAACTATAGAAACAGACTGGAAATAAACCGACACTCCACCCTACTCTACTCAAGAATGGGAAGCATTAAAAGCAGAAGCAAAATTCATTACGCAGGAAATGGGACAAGCAAAGGGAAGAGGGAAATAATGACCTCCAACAGAGAAATTGACAGCCAAAAGAAGGGGCCACATGAACTTGTAACGCTTAGAAAAGGACTCCCTTGGAGGCTGAGAGGATGGCGGAGGTGGTGGAGGAGGGGTCGTCGGCGGCTGAGAACCGCCGCCCATCTTGTACGACGCTGCAGCAGCTGATGCCGGGGTCGATGAAGATGCTGCAGGGGTTGCTGCTGGTGGAGACAAGTTTGTCACTTTCTTCTGTCCCTGGACTTGCTTCAGCTGAGCTGCTCTCGCAGTGAAAACGGGGGATCAAACCAGACACATCAATCAAATTGAAACTAACCCATTTCTTCAGATGAATGAAATCATGAAACCCAAAAGAAAGAAGCAGTTTCGGACGGAGAGTCGCTTTCGGATTGAGCTATCTGCAATCAATTCTATTTTTTTACCTTTCTTTGGCTTGTTGGTGTAGAGCTTTGGACCAGCTTCGCTCATTGTTTCCGTCAAAAGATCGATCGTAGCTTTCTGTTCTGATTTGACTGTCTAGTACTGCAATTGAAACTTCGAGATGATGGATCTCTCACTTTGGATTGATTTGTTACGCCGCCCGTCGGTTTTGGATTCTTTGCTGCTCCCTTGCTCCTGATCTCCGTAATTTTCTTTCTGGTTAGGGATGAAATCACCAAGGTTGTCAACCGGTTTGGAAAATTGGCCTGGTTGAGTGGATTAAGGACTGGATTACTGGTTGGGTTGGTTGAACTCAACATAAGTCTAAACGACCCATCCAAATGACTCCTATCTACTGTATTGTGATTTGTGAGTTGGTAGAAGTTTTTGGCAAAATACACTTATGTAGCCAAAATTTTTGATGGTTTGGTCAAATATAGTCATGTTTGGCGAAATACCAAAAATAGCCACTTCCGTTCAATTGTTTAATGGTGTTAGTTAACGTGTTGACTGGGCTAACAGCAATGGTTGACGTGACATATTTTATTCAAAAATAATGTTAGGTGAAAAATAATCAAACTTTTATCTTTTTATTTTAATCAAATTAAATAAAAACAAATCTCTTCTCTCCACCGCCTGCTCACCTCCATCAATAATTCCCTAAAACTCCCATAAGAGGAGCTTCTTCTGCAATCACCACAATTGAAACCCTCCATAACCCAAACAAAAAAAAAAACAATCAAAGTTCTGAAACCCTCCACATCAATCCCTACCCAGCTTCCATCGTCCATACCACCACCACCATTTTGAAACCTTCCATTAGTGCTTGTCCCTCTCTCACCACCACCGCCATCCCTGTTGAGTCTTCCAAGGTGTAACCGAGACGAATCTCACAACAAAAATGCCGAGCAAGGGGTAACCTAGGCACTCCTCAAAACTCACAAGGCCGCCGACTATTTAACAACCATTGATTCTGCAATGGTCTCCTTAGGCTCCGCCATCAAGTGTTGGGCCAGGGTCGGGTCGCATCAACGCCGATATCGACAACATCGACAGCGGGTCGGGCGTCATCTGGGAACCCCACCGCCAGAACTTGGTTCCACTCTTGCATCGGCTGAATCCTCCAGAGGGTAGTGAGTGCGGCTGCGGGATTGCTTTTCCGATGGATTTGGGAAAGTGGAGAAAAATGAAGGTAGATCTACTGTGAGTGACGGGATCTCTCTCTGCCACAGTGGTGCAACAAATCTGGAGACCAAATATTGATCTCTGATGGCTCCGAAGTAGGGAAGTTTCAAAAATCAATTGATGGCGCCACAATCGGAGTCGGTAGCGTTCAAGCCGGATGAAAGAAAGCTCGTAGATGAAGATGGAGCTGATCTCTCATCGTCCTCCTCCTCCTCCTCCTTTGTCTTCTTCTCTGGTTGTGAATAGAGAAACGGCGACGGAGCGGCACAGAGTTGGGGATCGTGATGGCGGCGATGGCTATGGTGAGGTGGGGGAGGGTTTTCTCTGCTGGCGAAGGGGAAGTGAAGAGGCTGGGGGTAGAACCCAAAGCTAGGAGATCCAATTGTGGGAGAATTTATAGTTGGGGGAAGTCGGGGGAAACCATAGCAGGGGATTCATCAATCTCCTCTTGGAGAAGTATTTTTTTTTTTTTTTGGTAATATCCTCTTGGAGAAGATGAAGTGTGGGGGAGAATATAAGAATTAAAAAATATATATATTTTGCTAAAAATCATTTTTTATTTATTTTTAAAATAAAATATGACATGCCATTCATGTGACAAGTGTTGGTGAATTGTCAATGATGTGTCGGTGAGTTGGCAGCCAGGTAAGCGTTCTGTTAATTTAACTAACGGTGTCACTGACGTCGCTAAAATATGTAACGGAAATGGCTATATTTGTCATGGAACTTTCAAAATTTTGGCTATTTTTGGTATTTCGCCAAAAATGGCTATTATTGTCACAAACGTGAAAGTTTTGGCTACACATATGAATTTTGCCGAAGTTTTTTTTTAACTCAAAACGATTACATTGAAATCAAATATCAGCCTCTTTGACAATTACATCAGCAATTTGGGCAGGGTAACAGCCTTTCCACAATTTGTCTCTAACAACAGGAGAAGGAAAAAGTGTGCTAGGAGATGAACAACCATATTTGCTTCTCTAAACACAAATCTCCAATCCAGAACATCAGTCTCCAAGTCTAACAAAGTAATGTCCCTACACATATTGTCGATTTCTATTCTGTTATCTTCTTTGCCCTTTAGGATATTGATCAACTTATTGCAATTAGATTCCACTTGGATGGTTCTTATTCCCAACTACTTTACTTTTTGCAACCCGAACGGCAAAGTCATCCCTTCTGCGAGATCAGGGGCCAATTTGCTTTGAGCATTCTACCGAATGCCACTTTCATATTTCCATACCAGTCACGAATAATACATCCCATTCCTACCTCCCCTTTGCCAGTGCAACCCGCATCAGAGTTCAGCTTATAGACCCCCCTTCAGGGGGCTTTTACCATTTGCAATTCCTCCTGTCAGCGCCTCTGTTAATAGTATTCTCCTTCCCCTGAACAACCATGAAATCCTGTATGAAATCGCCAGCTTTTGTGAACACTCCACTCTTGCAGCATCTTATTATTGAATAAACAATTGTTTCTTTCCTTCCAGAAAACCCAAAGAGCGATCCTTGATCGTTTTTTCTAGTTTTTATGGCTATAGTTTGGCTAGTCTGTTCGGTTTAATGTGAACTCCTTGTTAAAAGGTTCATTGCTCAGCTGGTTAGAGTTTGTTGTCAGCAAAGTTGTTTGCCCATTTTTGATGAAATGAAAAGCCCAACCATTCATAAAAAAAACCCCAAAGAAGCGAGCAGAATCTTTCGATATCCCCTTCTTTCGCCTCCTTAATCACCTTGAATATCCATTCCTTGCAAGAGAGATTTGAAGCCGAATATAATAGGTCTCCAACTGGAGTCTTAGACCAAATTCTACCCACCCAGCAGCAGTCCACGAGACAATGCTTCAGAGATTCCTTCATGCCACAGTTTTAACTGTATACTTCCCGCTCTCAATGCCAGACCAGCATAGAACATCCCTTTCAATGACAAGAGATAAAGGGAGATCCAGAATGGACTGTTGCTCTTCTTGTGTGAAAATAATCTCTATCAAGTCTCTTCTCCACGTTCTAGTTTCTTGGTCAACGAGACAGGAGACTTTAGAGTCCCAGTCCATAAAAGGACTAGTCCAAATGTACAACCCGATTTCAGGAGCTCCTGGGCCCCATAAGACTTCTTCGGATATAGCTCGGTCTCCAACCCATTTTTGCTTCGAGGATACTGCATTTCATATGGTATTTTGCCTTAAGCAATCTAGCAACAAGTGATTGAGGTTTGAGATTCAAGTTCCAGAGCTGCTTTGCAATGATAACTATGTTGAAAATTTTGAGGTTCCTAAACCCCATTCCTCTCTGTTCTTTCCTCCTACAAAGCTTGGTAGAGGTTATTTCAACTCCCAATAATTTGTGATTTCTTCTAATAACTCTAAAATTAAATGTACTAACATTATAGCAAATTAGCAATATAGAGATGGATGGCTTCTTAAGAAGTCACCATGATGCATTAATACAAAATTGTACGGAGCCAATTTAGTTAGATTACTAACATCAAAAACCCTATACAACAACCTCTCTTTATTGGCTAGAATACCACTACAACACCAGAAATATAAAAAATGACACTTGTGTCCTATTTTATTCAATATTTCATTCATATCTCGAAATATATGAGTTTTGTGATATTTGTATCATGACATCATATATTGACCGTTAGAGATAACTGTTGATCGGACGGATGTCAAATCATTGTTGACTTTCGCTGATGTGACAGACGTAGATGTCATATTATAATAATCAAGAATGTCTTTATTTAATTCAAACTAAATTTAATTATAATTATAATAATAAAATTACAAAATTATTAGAAAATTAAAACAAAATTTAATTATTGTGCTTCACACTCCGCCCTTCCCAATCTCCAGTCATGGCAGAACCGACCTACTTCTTCTCTCCGACAATGTAGACGCACCACACTACGCTCGTTAGAGCTCCAATCGCCATCATTCTCAAACTTGTTTACCCGCAAATGCCACTTAAATCCTGAACCAATAATTCCTAATCCACCGACCTTTCGATTTTCCCGCTGCTCCCCACCGCCGACTTCAAAAAATTCCTAAATTGTAGGGTTTTCATTTGGAAGGCAGCCGAGATAACTAGTATCCCAAGTACAAATACTCAGGGGCGGACCGAGGGGGTTTTAGGGGTGTCCCGGGACACCCCTAAATTTTGGGAAAACGATTATCCAACCCCCGGTGGTAATTTACGTATGGACAAAAAAATTATAATTGATAGTGAGGGACATCCCTGAAATTTGAAAAATGATTGTCCTACTGTCATTTTTTAAATTTGTGTATGAGAATATAAGTGGTAGCTAGGTTGAGTAATTCAAACCTAGAACACTACTATTATTAATAAACTTAATTTCCATTAAACTACAACTTATTTGTTGTTCGATTTTGAACACTGTGTAATAGTAAAATGTCATTCCCTATCTCTAATTATTTTCAAAACCTAACAATTAAACTAATTTCAAGCTACCCTTAATTTGTATTGATTTTATAGTTGTACGCCAAGTGTTGAAAGAGTCTTTAAGATTTGGGTTTCATCAAGAACAAGTTTACAAATCGAATATGCGATAAGTTCGTGAATGATTATCTAGTAGAGTATATAGAGACAATTTTTTTTAACATTGTAGACACCAAGTGTATTCTACAATTATTTCCGAATATGAAAACACATCATGAGTTTTTTTAACCTATACGAGTAAGGTATTTTCTTATTTACGATTTTATTTTTATTTTTATTAAATTTTATTTTATTTATTTTATTTTTTAAAGAGGACACCTCTATGAAAAATTTCTGGGTCTGCCACTGCAAATACTAATATCTGTCTATCTTTATGAATTCTCTCTCTTCTTTATTTTCAAAACTCTAATCTCCCTTCTCTATAGAAATTTTGATCTGATTTTGTCTTGATCATCTTGGATCATTTGAGCTTAGAGTTTCTCTAATTGAGATATGATATGCAAGTTTTGTTCCTTGTAGGTGGTTTTTCCTCTCCGGCGATTGTTTTTTTTTTTTTCTTAGCTTTTCTCGGTTCTTT